GACTTCTTCACCCAATTCCCGCAGAATCAAGGAGAGAAATTAAGGAGAAGGAAGCGAGGAAAGATAAATGAGACGCAGCCCTGAGCTCACGCAGACAGAGGCAGGAGGCGGCAGGTGTGGCTGATATTAAGAGTCTATTTACATGAGAACACTTGAGTGTAAAAACAATAAAATATTTTCTCAGAAGTGCCTTTCGTTTAGACGGTGATGACGTTTTTGGGGCTTAAAAACGCAAAAATCTGAAACCACCCTGCAGAGTGGAAAAGCTGAATACGCTCCGCCGTAGCGTTCCCGTCTACACTGCCCAAGACGCAAAACTCTGGTCAGATCTGCTCACGTCGCGTACACGTTTACGTCACATACATCACCACCGAGCGTCACCACCGAGCCGTCTGGCACGCGCACCCAATCGAATTCCACACACTTTTGCGTCACCGTATGCACGCAGACTTCTTCCCGAAAATGCTTGTCTAAATGCGGAATAAAAAGTGAAGATGCGATGCCACTTTTGCGTCTTCTGTTCAGACAGTCATCATAAGTCGATCAAAATTTCCTCGTCAGACAAATGTGTCAAACAGCAGCTCTGCAACGCCCATTTATACATGAGCCGAGTGCTTTTTTACCCAATGCCACACACTGTTCCTTGCGTAAGTCAGTCTGAGGTCAGCCCAAGGTTAGCCCAAGGTCGGCCACGTTCACACCACACTCCCCCCGCTCCAGAGTGTGAGAGGAGCTGCTCTGAGACCTCGTATTTGAAACAGTCCCCGAGAAGCCGTTTAATGAGAATGAGAATGTGACTGCCTGGAAATGTCACTGCTCTGTCTGGAATGTTCCACAGTATGACATTAAACAGCTCTACTTTAAAGAGTGTGATGTCCTGGTGCTTTTGGATAATAATGGGTGATGATTTTAAACTGCTGAGAGAACTGGGTTTGAATGATGATACAGATTTTTTATGATGGTCATTATAAAGACATTTTCTTTGTGTCTTTGAGTTTATGAACTATAACATCAGCCCGCCCAGGGTCTATAGGTGGAAATTAGCACTAATGTTATAACCGGGTACAATGCATCTCTCCTGTTCAGGTTAATGTACATTGTGCACTGTCCTTGTCTCATTAAAGGCGCATTGTGTGGTGGAGGATCTGTAAAATGCTTTTCTCCATGAATTCGTGTGTTGTTCGTTCATTTGTTTTTCAATATAAAACCAAAATTAAGAAAACGAAAAAATAAATAAATAAATAAAAATAACAGTCAATGAAAAAATGGATAACAGATTCCTTTTTTCAGGTTTCTATTTTGTGTTTAAATGAATAATGGAAAAAGCGTCCGTTTTCTGTTTTCGTGACTTAAAGTGAGATGCTGGAATTTTGCGCCGCATACGGACTGACCCAGGACTGAACCAGGACTAAACCAGTCTCAGTCCCAGTCCCCATCACGGTCTGGTCCCGATTTGGTCCTGGTCTCAGTCCCGGTCTCAGTCCCGGTCCTGGTCTCAGTCCCAGTCCTGGTCTCAGTCCTGGTCTGGTCCCAATCTAAGTCTTGATCTCAGTCCTGGTCTGGTCCTGGTCTCAGTCCTAAGCCTCACCTGACAGTCTATGCGGGCGCACCTCCAGGCCTGTCCCGACACTAGTCCTGGTTTAGACCTGGTTTAGTCCTGGTTGAGGCCTGGTTCAGTCTGCATCCGGCACAAAAGCATCACAGTTTAAGTCACGGAAACGGCTGTTATCCGTTTTTTCCATTATTCACTTAAACACAAAATCAAAAAACTGAAAAAAAAAAATATTATTATCCTTTTTTTTCATTTTGGTTTAGGACACAAATAATGAAGAGAACAGTTGTTTTCTTATTTTTAGTTTTATATTGAAAAATTAATGATACACGGATTTTCAAGGTATTTTTGAGCAGTGAAACCACCTGTATTTGAATCAATGTAAGGTGGAGTTGTTTAATCTACAATGATCTATACACAATCTACATGATGCCTTTCTTTCTGGGAATTCTGTCATTGTTTAAAAAGGTTTGACATTATAAGTACTTCTTTTTTTACTTCAGCCTAAACCCTTTCGGTCATAATCCATGGGGTTGTAGTCTGTGTTTTGTTTTGTAATGCTGCAAAATGACAGAATAAAAAACTACTACTACTACTAATCTCATACTGTGGAACATTCCAGGTACACCAATGACATATCCACAAGCGTAATGGACTCTCCCCCAGAAAAGTTACACAATGCACTTTTAAATAAATAAACTAAACTAGCGGCAGTGTGAAAATGACCACATACTGAGGTGTCTCTGCATCTGTTTTGTGTGAGTACTGAGGAAATTACCAAAACAGCTCATACAAGTGCGATCGGATTTTTTAGGACAACTATTTGTTTGTTGAATTACACCTCAAGTCTGTGAAATTAAATATTGATTTTCGTAAAAGACTAAGTCAAGGCTGATACACGTGTAAAAAATACTAAATGCTTTTGTCTGTTTATTTGGGAGATTTTTTTTTTTTTTTTTAAACGTTTAATACCCCACGTTTCCTAACTGGTCTGTAGGGAAATCCTCGTCTGGCTAATTCCACTTTTGGGGTTAATCTGTGTGCACGTGCTTCTGTTCTGGTGGTGCACAGCTGGCCCAGTTATGTGGAGCGCTCGGAGTAGGGCAGCGACTGTGTGAAGGAGATTTACGAATGGGGTTGAACAGGGATGCTGCGATATGGATTTTTTAAGTTATATTGCTGTCCGATATTTGGCTTGCTGATGTGCTGCTAAACCAATACACAATATTTGCCAATTTTTGTACAAATGTTTTTTAAGTTCGAAGTGCTATATTACACAAAACTGACTCTTGTGAGCTTTAAGTCATTTTAGAAAATTGTTACTTTCCTCAAAAACATACTCGGAGTTGTGTTTTGTTTCATTCACACATGTTTGAGTAACACTTTATTACTGGTCTGTCTACATTGCCAAAGCTCAAACTGCTGTTCTGCCTTGTGATGTCATGAAGCTACCTTTTACCGGGCTATTAGGCGCTCTGGATTATAAGACGCACTGTCATTAAATGGTCTATTTTTGAACTTTTTTTTACAAATAAACCACACCGGACTTTAAGATGAAACACAACAGTTCGATGGGTCAGTGGGACTTTGTTTGGCGCGTTCACGGTGACTCTCGGCTTTGTTCAGTTGTGGCGTGTAGGGAGGGTGCTGTCTGGGACCGCTGGATTGTCGGCGTGTTCGCAGAGACTCAGTTGTTCAGTTGTTCAGTTGTGTCTAGAAGTGTCACAGTGCACTCACTTTTTTCGGTTCGTTCCTCCGTTCCGTTCCTCGTCCATGTGGAGTGATAAGTGTGGCTGTGGGTGTTTTTCGCTGTGCTGTCGCTGTCTGCTTCGTGTGTTTGCGTGCGCTGCGGGTGGTGCGGCGTTGTAGTTTACTGAAGTCGTGCTGGGACACCCGAGTGGATTCGTGTATGGGGCGCTCTGGATTGCAGGGCGCGCAATCGTTTTTTGATGGGGTTGGAGGCTTAAGAGCGCGTCTAATAGTCCGGAAAATACCGTACCTTTATTTCAATACATGTAGGCAATTCCATGGCACAGATCTTTCAAATGATTCTAGTGAAGGTGTCTATGGAGTTTAAAATACAGTGGAGCACTTCCTGTGTTATCACATGACATCACAAGGTGGAACAGACCGTTATCTGTTTGAGAGAAGAACTCAGCCTAAATATGCAGGGTTTGTGTGTTAAACATGTGTGAAAGAAACAAAACCCAACTCCAGGTCTGTTTGTGACGAGGAAACAACATTAAAACATAGATATGAAAATAGTGCAATATCAGCCCTTTAAATCCGTGTATCATTTGTTCATTCATTTTTCAAAATAAAACCAAAAATAAAAAACGAAAAAACAACTACTTTCTTCATGCTGGACTTTTGCGCCGCATATTGACTGAATCAGACCTGAACCAGGACTAAAACAGGAATAAACCAGGTCTGAACCAGGACAGAACAAGGACAGAACCAGGCCTGAACAGGTCTCAGTCCAGGTCTCAGTCCAGGTCTCAGTCCAGGTCTCAGTCCCGGTCTCAGTCCCGGTCTCAGTCCCGGTCTCAGTCCCGGTCTCAGTCCCGGTCTCAGTCCTAGTTTGGTCCCTCTCAGTCCTGGTCTCAGTCCCAGTCTGGTCCTGGTCTCAGTCCCGGTCTCAGTCCTGGTCCCTGTCCCGGTCTCAGTCCCGGTCTCAGTCCCGGTCCCTGTCCCGGTCTGGTCCCGGTCTGAGTCCTGATCACCCGACATTGTATGCAGGCGTACCTCCAGGCCCAGCCCGACACAGAGTACTGCTTCAGTACTGGTCCAGTCTTGGTTCAGTCCTGGTTTAGATGAGGTTTAGACCTATTTTAGTCCTGTTTTATTCCTGTTTTAGTCCTGGTTCAGTCCGTATGCGGCGCAAAAGTCCGGCATCACAATTTAAGTTACAAAAACGTGAAACGTCGTTATCCGTTTTTTCCATTATTCATTTAAACACAAAATCAATATCTGTTTTTTCTTTTTTTCATTTTGAAGAAAATAGTTGTTTTTTCTTTTTCTTATTTTTGGTTTTATTTTGAATAACAAATGAACAAATGATACACGGATTCCTTTAAAGTAAACATGAATGAAATTAGGCTTTTACTTCTGTATCTGGAAAGTAAAATTATTTGTTACATGTTTGAGTCAACATGCAGCTATATTTGTAACCTAATCATAATCATAACATTTTCTTTCAGCTACAGATGTGAACACTGTTTGTTAAGACAAATGCAAACCCTGATATTTGTGAGCAAGCACTGATAAAGAAAACAAAATTCACAAGCAGAATAGTTATCGAGTGGTGTGATCTGACTGGTACACACGAAAGACCCTCTGAGCTGAAAATTCTATTCTTTTGTTTCTAAACAGTTTTTTATTAATTATGATTATGAAAAAACCTTGGTAATATTGTGTTTTGAGTGTTGAGTGCGCGTCCTCCACTCACCCCGATGTGAAAGGGTCCAGTGAAATAGTCCAGATTGGCCTGAATAAAGCCAATGTTGTGCAGACCCAGTTCAGCTCCGCGGCTCTGAGCTCTGACCAGGGACTCCTCTTTGTTTTCAATCAGAATGACCTGAAAATGCACAACAACATTCAGTGAGCCAGCATAACATCTCATAAAAGCTTCATCAAATCAGAAAAAAGGGCAGAAGCTATGATAAAACAACTTTTTTCTTCTTCTTTTTTTTTCTTTTTTTTTAAATGGGATGACATTTCGAAACCTAAAAAACAGCAGAACAATGCAATTTTGGTTACAGGCAATTTAATGATGCATTCTTATTCTAATTATATGTCATTATAAATAATAATCTCGTAAATGTCTACTCGCTCTGTTTACACCCACATAAGGGCAAAGTCTATTCTTAAAAGTATGAAATTTAAAAAAAATCATCAAAACTGGATTTGAAAAATAAGACAAAAGTATGAAGTTGACGACTGTGCGTAGGCCTGTCACGATAACAAATTCTGAAGTGTGATATAGTGCTGAAGAAAATACAGATAATAAACAAATACATGATTAATTATAATACTGAAACTAATTTATGACACTGACACAAAAACCCAAGAGCAGATTTAAAGGTGCACTGAGTAACTTTTCTGCTGAATGGTACGTCAATGCTTTTTTTGGAGATGTTATTGCGTTGTCGGAGATGGTATTAAATCTTTTTATCATCATGGAGACCAAACCAGACCAAGTTACAGGTCAGGTCTGTGGATAGACAACCTCGTTCATAATCAGAATACCTGTTTTTTTTTTTTTTTTCTATTTTTGAGATAGAAAACCACTGGTAATTTAGCTGTTTAATGTCATACTGTGGAACATTCCAAGCAGAGCAATGATATATCCATAGAAAAGTTACACAGTGCACTTTTAAACAACAAAAAAGTATTCTAAATGTACAATATTGTTATTATTATAATAATAATAATAATGTTAAAAAAAACATGAGCTGCAAAAAATAAATAGCAAAATTACACACAGTACTTGGTTTGCCTCTGTAATGAGTCAAAAAAGGTATTAATTAAATCGTTTACGGCTTAAAGGTGCACTATGTGAGTTTTTCGTTGAGGGTCCGGCACTTGCATGTTTCTGTGGATATATCATAGAGCTTTTTCAAAACGGCCGGAAGTGCCTCGCTGTAGGGTTGGTGGAACTTCTGGTTAATGATTTTCTATGGCAAAATGTCTTTAGAAATATCTTGCGTATTTTCCACCAGCTTCATAAATCTGCCCTATCACCAAATCTTCAACCAACAAGCTCGATAAACAATCTTCCACGAAAATATATCCATAACTATCAAGGTAAGAAAGACAAAAACGTAAAGGCGAACGACGACCAGCATTATTGAACTACTGAGCAAAACTAATGTCATGGTCATGAATAAAACATAAATAATTTGTTCACTCAGACTGATTCTACAATTAAAATTTTAAATCAATTTCATGATGCAGACATTAGCAAAGGCATTAGCAGAGATTTGTGCCGTTCAAAGTTCACCAATGCTTGTCGTTGTTCTCCTTTAAGTTTTCATTTTCCTTATCTTGATAGTTGTGGATAAATTCTTCATGGAACAATGTTTATCCTTTGTGGACATTGAAGATTTGGAGATCTGGCAAGCAGATTTAGATTTATAAAGCTGGTGGAGAATACGCCAGACATTTCCACAGATATTTTACCAAAAAATAACCACAAATGTCCCAGTAGTGCAAAGAAAAAATATCATGATAAATATTGAAATATATAGCTCCAGCTTTCATATATTGATATAGTAGTAATTATCATGACAGGTCTAACTTTGGGCAGTAATTAAATCAGGTAATAATTAGGGACTATGCTATTTTGATTTTATTATATTCTTGGAACACACATACCTGGCAATCTGGAAGAGCATGAGCCAGGACAATCCCCACATGGCCCTGCAAAACAACCAAATAGTACCAAACATGAGTGGGCAATCGGTGCTGTTACTCTGAAAAGGACCCATCATTTAGAAGTATATTTTAAAACCAAATAAGGCTGAATTAAATTGTGTATTGACCAAAAGTGAGTTTAGTGGTAGTCTAAGTGCACTAATCAATACAAAAGCATGTTGGAGAGATGAACAGAGCGCACCGTTCCGCTGCAAAAGTCCACAATAGTGTTCCCAGGTTGGGCTAATTCAGTAACCATGGCGACCAAGTTGTTCAGCTGTTGCCTCTTCCTCTGCGCACGAACGTCTGACATTTTACCTGCAAAAATAGAAAAAGAAAAGCACAAATTTGACAATCTGATTTTTTGGAAATGATTTACTTAATAACTTGATTGACTTAAATTACCTTTATTACACAAAATGGATTCTTGTGAGATTTAAGTCATGTTAAAATGCATCAAAGCATGGTGAAAAATAAAGTTTCAGATAACCTCTATTAGAACCCCGCATTAGGTTTTAGCACCCAAAAGATGATTTGAGAAGACATTTGGAAGAAAAAGGAGATGTTTTAGAGGTTGCTCAAGCTGCATGAAGTTTCCTGGAAATTGAAAAATTTACCATTTTCAAGTAACTTAAGGATTTTTTATGGACTTTCTAAGTAATTTTTATGCAAGTTTCAGTTTGTGTTTGCAGAATAAAATGACAAATTATTCGAGCTGACCTTATTTATTTTGTTCACTATGTTATAGTATAGTAGGCAGGCTGGTGCCACCTAGTGCCTCTGCTCAATTTTTTTTCTCTCCAGTGAATAGGTCAGGAATTGGAATACACTTCAAGAACCCCAGCAGTTGCAGACCATGCTCCAGCCAATCAGCGACGAGCTGTGAAGCTATGACGTCAAACTCAAGTGCCTCTCTGGGTCCCTTTTGTGGTACAGCACAACAGTAAACAAAGTGGTTGAGATGGATGTAGACAAAGCCAGACATTCTGTGTTGGCAACGATTCCTGAGATCGAGGATTTAAAGATGGAACAAAGAGAATGTTTGTTGAATTTTATCAAGGGGAAAGACGTTATTGCCCTTCTTCGTACAGGATTTGGTGCATTACATGCATCACGACCAAACAGTAGTGATTGGGTTAATTAAAAAGTACCCGCCTACTGTCGAGTGAACAAATCCTAATGCTGCGAGATCAGACTTCCACTTCGTGGAAACCGAATCAGGCCCTATAATTTTCAAGTGTCTTCAGCAACCTCTAAATATTAATTTGCATAAAATTTGGACCCAAATATTTTGGCCAGATATGGAGCCAAATGCAAGCTTCTAATCTAGAGAATCTAAAAGAAACCACCCTAATAATGCTGTTACCTCATCAAAACATGGCAGGAGTTGTGTTTTGCTTCATTCACACATTTGACTAAACCTTTATTATTAGTTTGTCTACATCTCCAAAGCTCAAAATGCTCTGTTCCACTTTGTGATGTCGTGAAGTGATAGTTTCTCCAGTTAACAGCTCCTTTTACCTTTAGTTCAGTAGAGATTGACAGTTCCAGGGCTGAAATCATCCAAATGATGATTATTGTGCAGGCATATGGAGTTTACAAACACAGTGGAGCACTTCCAGTATTATCACATGAACTCAGCCTAAATATGCAGGATTTTGTGTGTTAAACATGTGAATGAAACAAACTAAATTACAGGTATGTTTGTAATGAAGAAACAACATTATAACATAGATCGGAAAATAGTGTAACATGGGCTCTTTAAAATTAGAGTCTTCTGTCCCTTCTGTCTCATTCTAGTCTCCAGACTCTGCTGCATCTGTAGGTGTCATTGGCCAAGGACAAACCCTGGCCAATCAGAATGTTTTTTACAAGCCTCCCCAGTCTTCTCAACATAGCCTGTGTGTTTTTGTATTTTCCCGAGAACAAAATGTAAAAGCAAAATGAGGTCATTTAGCACTAATGTACTACCTTAACTTTTGCAATTTAAATTTTACCCAAACGGAACAATGTTAGCAGTCTGGAAGCAACAAATTGATGTAGTTTTGGCTCCATGCTGCTCATCCATCACCGATGTAATGGCCTGTTTTATGTTGATGATTGCTACGTCGATTCTCAAAATTTTGATTCATCACCAGGATATTCAGGTAATGTTTAGGAGCAGATGGATCAAAATAGTTTCCATTTTCCCATCAACTCCTTTCTGCTCAATTACTCAGTTCCACACCAGCTTTCACGGTCATAAAACAGTAGCTGCCCTTCCAGCCTGTCCCACCTTGTGATGTCACGTGGTGATACAAGAAGTGTTCCACTGTGTTTTTAACCTCCATACACTAGAATCATTTGGATAATTTCAGCTTTGGAATTGCTCACCTCTTCTGAACTCAAGGTAAAAGAAGCTGTTCACTTGAAAACTACCACTTCATTACATCATAAATTGGAACAGAGTTTTCGATATGTAGACTTAAACTTAAACAAACTGTATTGATCTACGAGGGAAATTAGTTGGACACAGTACACAGCAAAAAATATAGGCTTAAGACACAAAAAGTGTTATTTTAACTATATGAACGTTAAATGGGGATTCAAGTTGGGTTATTTGCCAGAGTTGATGTGGTTGAAGTTAATTCAACTTCCCCTACTGTAGTGTTAATCTGGCACCACCACTTCAAACTCCCGTGAGAGAAGACCACTTTAAACCAGTTTTGTACATAATTTCATTTTAAATTAACTAAAATAAAGTTTAAAATTAAAACACTTCTGTGTGTTGTTAAAGCTAAATCAGGATAACCCTGCAAAGTGTTATCCGTTTACTCTCAAAACGTTAAGACAACTCTTGATTTTGGGGTTAAACAGGAACTTTGGTCCAGTGTTACTTAATTAACTAATTAAATGTTAAATTAATTCTAGAACAAATTGGACTCATATAAACACTGAGAAAATGTTAAAATTGATTCTGTGAGAGTCAATATTAACACTCCACTTTTTGCTGTGCAGCTCACACATCACATTATAATAACAGAGAGAAAGCATATAAAGGGTCATAATTCTAAATAAGTAGCAAAAATAGCAAGAGACTTGTGTCAAGGCATAGTTAAATAAATGCATATGTACAAGTAAGAATACAATAACATAGAAATAAGCAATAAAATATCTCAGCAATATACGACGACGCAAGGGAAAACAGTGCAAAGATGATATGGTGTTAGACCAGGGGTGGGCAATTTATTTTTTCCATGGGGCCACATGAGAAAATATTGTGGAGGGCCGAGCCAAAATACTAAACTCAATTCTGCATAATATTTACTGTATTTCTTTCTCAAATGCAGTACACAGTATTGTTTTGACAGGCTGGTAAGACTGGAGAGTTTATGTTATGACTAAGCAATGAAAAAGTCAGGTTGCATTACAAAAAACGTCATAAAAAATACCTCTAAAATAAAAGCAATGCAGCTTTAGTTCATGCATGAAGTAAAATTATGAAATATGTTTATTTTGTAACTCTAAATTATCTTAAACAGGCCGGTCAAAGTCAACCTGGGAGCTGCACAATGCCCAAGTCTGGGTTAGACAGACTACTAATAAAGGCATTACACAAACATTGCTACGCCAACATTTCTACATCGAATCTCAATCTCTTAGACTCATCGCCCGGATATTCAGGTAATGTTTAGGAGCAGATGGATCAAAACAGCTTCCATTTTTCCCATCACCACATTTCTGCTCAATTGACATCTGGAGAGCAGTACCACACCAGCTTTCACAGTCATCAAACAGTAGCTATCCTTCCAGCCAAAACGAACAGTGAGCTGTCAGGGGAAGTGTGTTTTTTTTCAAAGCATATTTTGAATCTTCCGTGTTCTGTATTCCCATCTTCTGGCACCTTCAGTGAGCCGTTGAGGCGCTGTGCTCATGTCCATGGTCTATAAATCAAAAGCAATGAGGGTTTCATTCACCGGAGGACGTTCTGTGATTTCAAAACTCAAGTGTGAGGAAGAAACTAAAATAAAAGCCAGATTGTTTTTAGTTTTTTTGTTTTTTTTATTAGGCTGAGAACAAATATTGGGTCCTAGACAAATAAATGTATACAGTTTCTTTCCTCAAAGAGAATTCTTACCCCTTGAGATAATCCTAGACCTGGTTTAGAACTTCTTAGAGAGACCACAGTATGATATTTTCTGAACAAAAACATAAATGGAGTTGTGTTTTGTTTCATTTACACGTGTTTAACACACACAAATCCTGCATATTTAGGCCCAGTTCTTCTTCAAACAAACATACACTCCATGCACTTTCACTAGAATCATTTGGAGAATTTCAGCCCTGGAATTGCTTATCTCTTAATTTATAAACTACCACTTCATGACATCACAAGGTGGAACTGAGCATTTTGAGCTTTGGAGATGTAGACAGACTAATAATGCAACGTTACTCAAAAATGTGTGAATGAAACAAACACAACTCGATCTTGGTGTATGTTTTTGATGAGGTAACAACAATCAGCTAACATGGCTTAAACTCACTGTGTAATTTTCATAATATATCACTTTTAAGTTGCGCTGTAGTCCTATATTTTAGACCTAGTTCAGATATGGAATTAGACCTGGTTTAGCTCGGATGGTACAAGGAAAGCTGTTTATTTTCTTAGTTGATACTTGGTGGGAAAAGTTTGAGAACCATTAATGTATGTAATAAGAAACAGAGCCATGGCCATGTTTTATTACAGGCTGTACTTTATAAGCACTAAAGGACATATAGTTGTGTGCGGTAGGTGGAATTCAAATACAGAGATAGTTTGAATAGTTTCCTGACTGAGCGGTTCACACCAGGGCAGACGCCCACGATTCCGGAGAGACTGGGTACAGGATTAGGGGCTCTGTAACACAACTAAACACATTAAGATTTTAATTGCAGCGTGTTGATCACAGACTTATAGAAGATCTCAGGAGAAAAATTTAAGTCTCACAGCAGAAAATGAAGTGAGACATTATTTAAACTCATGAAGAATGTATTATCCACAATCAAATACAGATTTCTAATCACATAAATATGATAAAATGAAAACTTTTCTGAATAGATTGAGTGGTCAAGCCCAGGGGTCGCCAACCTTTTTCCTCCCTTCAGCTACTTTTTATAAAACAAAAGTGCCAGAGAGCTACTAATTTTAGCCAGAAATGGAGTGTAAATAAGAGCCATGGTTATTAGATGGGTGCAGTTAGATGCCTTAAAGTTAAACCATTCTCCATTATCAGTGCACAAAGCAACGCCTCGCTCAGACTGCACCTGGTCCAGCTCCAGTGTGAGACCGGTCTTA